AGTAGAATCCATTAAGGTTGCAGATAAACTAATAAAAGTACCATAGAAGTTATGGTACTACCAAGATCCTGAAATATTGAAACATCAAATCCCTCTAACAGCAGTCTAGAATAACTCAGAATTAATCATATGACTAGTTAAAGAGAAGAGAGAAAATAAATTGAAAGATAATACATGTTTCAAATGTAACTTGAAGAGATACAAGAGGAAAAACAGCTCTCAAACATAACAGAAAGAGGTAACTGTTATACTTTGGGAAACAGGGCCATTATAGCCGGGATTGTAAAGAAACAACAGCTGTTATAAAACTAAGGAGACAGAGCCTAACCAGATCAAAAGAACAACAGAGCTAACATGAAAGTAGGAATTATTTGGATTTATGCGGTAAAGTTCAGCAAAAAATACTCCATCAATCATAAATGGGAAAAGAAGTTACTTATATGAGGAAAATCGATTTTGATTCCATGGGCTAACTGTTGGAAAACCTTGTAGCATGCTGATTGACAATGGCTCTAGCTACAATTGGTCATCTCAATTTGTTAATGAAAGATGGGAATTGCTCCCAGAGATGAAGAAAGAAAGGGGATTGATGAAACAGCGGGTGGACATAAAGCTCCGGCAAAATGAAGTTGAAAGTTACCCGTATTGTAGGAAGCTTTCTTATGTCTCATGATGTATGGGTAATTGACCTTGAAGAAGAGTGCATTTTGGGAATTGACTTCATGAGGAGACATGGATGTGAGGTCAGACTAACTTCAGTAAGCTTCATAGTCTATGCCCAGTCCTTCTGCACTATATAGCAATAATTGCACCAAAGGTTTAAAGTCGAGTAGAATCTGAGAAAGTGGTCATTATACCACCAAGAAGAGGGATACGTATATCAAGATTTAATAACAATAATTCTTCATCTAGTTACCAGGCTATAATCAAAGGAAATACATCAGCATGTAATGAGGATTGGTGATTGGAAGTTTTCCTTGCTTCACAGTGGCACAGTGGTATGTCTGTAGACTTGTAGCACTAGAAACTGAGTTTTGATACTCGTGGTGAGCAGACCTCATGTAGCCCTTTGTGTAGCTTTGTGCTTAACTACAAACAGTTTTTCTGATGTGATGAATAAATATTTACGTGACTTAATCCAAGAAAAACTTAAATCAGTTTTTGATAAAGTGAAAGGTAGCTATGGTGTAAGTGCTGATAAAAGTGGATTCTATTGTGGTTACATGATATGGCACAACCGTTCTCATCATGAGAGAAGACACTCGAAATTAAATAGCTGTTCAGAGGGAATGCAATCCAAGCCAAAGGTCCTTTTTTTGTAATCGTCTTGGGAAAGTATGTTGGTGAGAGAATGGTTAATCAGGTAGCTCCAGAGGATAACATGTCAGCAGAAACTCTTAACCTGCAGAGGTGCTCGGAGTTCCTGACGAAACTGCTTCTGGAGGATTATCAATGAGAACCATCAATAGATTCACCTGCCCATATACTCAGGAAGACCCCCCCCCCCCCAGCGATAGGATTGCCAATGATAAAAAGGGACAAGACAAGATAAGACAATCAAAACGACTTGATGAATGTTCAATTCAGTATAGTGTTTTATTATATTTTGTATTAGGATTGTTCAAGGGACTTCACAATCCAGGAAGGTGGCAATATTGTAAACTATATTTATAATGTTTGCTAGATGAAACTGCGGACCTTAATGACGATGTTAAGATCAAGCAAGTTCCAGAAATATCTAGAACAAGTAAATAATATAAATGCATTCCATGAAGAACCGAGAAGTTTAGAGTGAATTAAAAGGTAGTCAAAAATATAGTTAAGAGAGTGTAGAGTTCTTAGAGGATAGTGATTTCAATATAGAGGGAGAACCAGTGTATTAGCTATCCTGGTTACTTTGTACAAGTAAATTGTTTTGTTTATATTAGTTAACGTCATTCGTAGCATAGGCCTACAGCAATTTACAACAGTGTAGAAGGGAATAATTATTGTAAAGTGGAATATACGTTGGCCATATATTCTGTCCTGCTGGCGCCTTCCTCGACTGACACAGTTTCACTGACTGCCACTCTAGCAAACTCAACCTGAGTGAAGAAGGAAGAGAAAGCCTGGATTTTTGTCTCTTTCCATATTGGAAGATTCCACGAGATCTGGTTGTTCCAAAATTACATATACAGTCACCTCTGACAAAATCATAAGCTGTGAATGATTTTGTGAAAGTGTTTGTGCTGCTTTTCGTTTGGTTATGGTTAATTCCCTTATTTATTAGAGGTGCTGATACGTATTTATGAAGCATCAAATTGAATTATTGTTAAAGAATATTTTTGTATTGTATTTTATATTCTCATACTGTATTCCTAGTTAATCATTGTTAAAGAGTACTTTGAATATGTATTCCCAAACGATCATTACTATCTTTGTTAAAGGGTTATGCTTGTCTGTATCTTATATTGTTTTTTTTTAAGTTAAATTTAGGGATATATGAATGAGAAGGAAAGAAAAGACTAGTATTTGGGTATATTAAGTATAGTGTTTATTTTCAGTTTTAATTTATACAAGGGACATCTTGTTTGGCAATGATTTTAAACATTTTAACACATACAGGTGTTTCAGCGAGTATATAGATTTAAGAGTAGATAGTTGGTTCTGAAACGTAATGAATTGCTTTTATCCTAGTGATGCATTGGCCTTGGTCATTAACATTTGGTGTCACATATTATTTAATGAGAGAAATTAATATGGGAATACAAAGTGAAATATACCATGTTCATTTTGACAGCAATCTTAACCACTAACAAATCCTGTGATTCCTGAAGTAACAGTCTCCATATATTTTCTTATGGAATGACCAAATGTGGCATTGGTAGCACGGGTGCTGTAAGAAAGATGACCCTGTTGGTTTTCTCAGTCTTGATTCATATTTCAGAGATTTCAATCAGACTGTTTCAGATTTCCAATGGATCTCTCTTCAGTCTCTAGAGAGAATCTGTATTTATCATCCACTCTACACGTCCTACTGAATTGTTTCTCTTTTGTAAATAAAGGATTGCTTGTTTTTCACTGTCAGTACGTGCCCATTCTCTTCCTTCAATTCGGTTGCTACATAACAATTCACTATGTTAGTGTAGTTACCATTCTTATCCCCATCACAATCAGTGAACCTGATAATGCCACATTTATTCAAATTAAATATGCTCAGTGTGACACGATTATACCAGGTACCTGCATCATTTCATGAGGTTTAAAAAAGAAGACAGTTTTCGGTCTGAAATAGAAGTAAATTCCCCAACTTGTCAAACTATTCTCGATAAGTATTGACTTTTTTTAAAGTTACAAACATCTGTATCGTTATCTAGCGAACTGCTGACCAATGTTACGTTCTAGTAACGACAGCCAAATAAAAAACATTTATCATCTCTTTATTTCTAAAGAGAGTTAATCTCATATGAGCACCTAGCGTTGATAAATCAAGTTTTGTAATAAAAGTTAACATTTTATTATGCTAATATCTTATAATTAGTATAAAGAAAAACAACTAAATCTGATTATGAACTAAAACTTGTTACTTTTAATTGATCCAATATACGTTTAATTGAAAGTGTGTAATACTTGTTTCAAATTCAATTTGTTTTAAGCCAATTAAGCCTAAAGGACCAGCTAAAGACAATATCAGTCTTTTCGTGACACTAGTTAACCCAGAAGAGTAACACGTATAACGTCAGCTTTAAAGTCAAACATTTTATATTTGAAATACTATTATCAACCATAATTATTTATAACGACGTTTCTTCTTAATTGCGTAACCAATATTCATATCGTTTCCTACAAAGTAATTTATCTAATCTCTATCACAAACATTAAGAGATTAAAGACATTTGTAATTTAACAATAAACCAGCTACCAGTGGCGTAGATACGGATATACAATTACTATGAAGACTAAACATATATATATTTTAATTTTAGTTATTAAACATAAGAAAACTGTTATAATCACATATGGAGACGTAAATCACGCAATAAATTATCAGCAATATATTTTGAATCTGAAATTAACCAGTTTGGTTTGTTTCGAATTTTGCACAAAGCTACACGAGAGCTATCTGTGCTAGCCGTCCCTAATTTAGCAGTGAAAGACCTAGAGGGAAGGCACTAGTCATTACCATCCACCGCCAACGAATAGTGAGACTGACTGTCATGTTATAATGCCCCCACGGCTGAAAGGGCGAGCATATTTGATGGGATGGGAATTCAAACCTACGACCCTCGGATTGCGAGTCGAGCGCCCTAACCACCTGGCCATGCCAGGAAAATTTAACCAGTTTATTATCTTCTTTGCGTAAGTATCCCTTTGTTTTATATAAAGTTTTATTTTTTTCACTTTTACATAACTGTCAGCCTTTAAAACGGTGAGTTTCTTTCCTTCCAAAGTGTATATATATCAGTGTTTTGTTAATTACCAACTTGAATGGGTGTTTGCAGTTTTAAAATAATAATTGTTTAAATAAAAAAAAACCCGAAAGATCCTACAACGAAATAATATTGTCGAGTAAAATACCAAATAGTGATTTGGAAAACTAATGTTAGCATTATGTGTGTTTCACAGGATTGTTCTTAAACGATACGTTTGTTTGTTTATTTGTTATGAATTTCGCGCAAAGCTACACGAGGGCTATATCTGCGCTAGTCGCCCCTAATTTAGCAGTGTAAGACTAGAGGGAAGGCAGCTAGTCATCACCGCCAACTCTTGGACTACTTTTTTCCCAACGAATAGTGGGATTGACCGTCACATTATAATGCCCCCACGGTTGAAAGGTGTGGGGGTTCGAACTCGTAACCCGCAGATTGCGAGTCGAGCGCCCTAACCACTTGGCCTAAACGATATGTGTAGATGTTTTTCTTTTTACACACAATTCTGCATTACAAATATATGATTATCGTTATGGAAACGCAAATATTTGCCTCCACTGTAGCACGCAGCTTTTTTGATTTTTTTTACAGATAAATAGAACGTACAGTATGGTTGAAGAGTCTATGTACAGTTTATACGAAAAAACTGGCAATGAAATAGAATGCAAGTTACAAGAGCTGTCTGCCATCTTGGAACGGATCTCTAAACTTGAAACCGAACTACAAGAATTTCGATCGGCGTTTGATGTATTATATCAGGATCTTCAACAATCAATCAATCTCCAGGGAAATAATTAATCACCATGTCATATAATCTTTGGAAATTATTGCTGTTTGTTTGTTGAAATCTTTCAGCTAGATTTTAATTTTTCAGTGTCTTGTTTAATCTTCATTCAATTTATATACCAGAAAATTATTATTTATTGATTAATATCCCAGAAAAAAATCTTAAGATTCATCCGAGCCAAACATCAACCATCTTTCTTTCATGGTATCGATATTTATTTGTAGATGTTTAAAGGTTTTGTTATTTCAACAAAGTTTCTTTCTCACCAATAAAACCATAAAAGAAAAACGTGTTTCAAAGAGCATAATTTCAATTGTGATATAATTGTTTTTACACATTTTTTTTAAGTAAACAATTTATGATAAAAATACCTAAATTTTCCAAAAAGAAAATGAAAAAAGACCGAAATAATAATAAATATAAAATAATAATGGAAGATATTTGAGACATTGATATAGGCTCTTAACGTGAATGATAGGTATATGTTAAGAAAGGGGTGAATTTTTTCCCGATTTTTTCTTAATTCCCAAGACTTCACTCACAATTTTAGCAACAGTTTCCAGGTATTTCTGACTATTGAAAATCAATAAATATGTTTTTGAACTCTGAAAAATGAAATACTTAGATAAAGGAATGGATATTACTATTAAGCTCCAGTAAAAATAGGAGCATCATTGCAATTAATTTTTATCACAGTCTAATAAAGAACTAAAACAATGATTTGTGTTTAAAAAAATCAACAGTAACCTATTTATATTCTTAATTTTTTAACGCTAAATGGAGTTTTTTACTTATGACATAGCTACTAAAACAGAAAAAATAACGACCTTTGACTCCAGAATGTGAAGGGTGTTCCTTAATTATCTTTCCTATTTTGAACATAAAAAAACAAAAACTAATAGACATACAAAATTCAGAGTACAACAACTAGTTGCTCAACTCACAAATTTTGTATTGACACGGTTTTCTTCCAGTGAGTCGAACTGAAAAATGTGGAAATCTACTAACATATCGGTAAAAACTCTTTGATTAGGGCTACCAGATGATTTAAACTGCATTTTGTATGTCTGTTAAAAATTGTTTTATTTACGTTCAAATAGGAAAGAAAATTTTGGAGCATCCTGTATATTTCATTGCTGATCTTACAGTTTCCATCAGCGCGATTCATAACCTATAAGTATGCTGCTTAAGCCGAAACTGAACAAAACATAGTCACCTGCTGATCAAACACAATTCCTTGTATCAAAAAGACACGTCTCTTAACAACAATAAAATTTAACTAATTATACTTGTACGACATTAGCATTAGGCCTATTATATTTTTGGCGCTAAATTGTTTTTCAGTCACTTAAGCTTTTTTAAGACAGGTTTACTAGGTATGTAATATGCAAGTGTATGAAAGAATGAACTGTGTTAAGGAATTTATGAAAATCGAGAAGTGATTAACTTTATGGTTTTACGCCCCAAATATATCGTCCATACATTTGAAACGAATTGATGGACTGACATTTTCTCATTTTCCAAGAATTTAGTGCTTTCTGTTGTAATATAGTATATCCAGGTACAATTAAACTAATTTTAAAGCTACATCAGATAGGTTAAACATTGTTGGGGCCATAACCTATAGATATCACCTATCCAACCATTCAAGGACACTGCTGTTGACACTCTTGCAAAACGTTCAATATGCAGTGTTCTTCCCTAGTGGTAACAGGTATTATCTACTTCAGAAAACAACAAAGGTAACTTGAAACAAAATCAACTTAGTGGTTTACTCAACCATGTGCTAGGTGACACCTTGCACATATTCAGAACAAAGAATGAATTTGGAATAAATTTTATAATACTACGAGAAGATAGAAACTCATGGTTTATTCATATACCACAATTAAACTAATGCAATTATATTCTTCATCGCCATCTCTCTAATTTATTTCTAAAAATCCCCATTCAATTTTACATGTTAGAGATGGTCATTGAAATTGTGACAGAAACAACGTGAAAGAGAAAATATTGCTTTTATCTCTAAATAAAGAATTTAAGCATATGTTGTTTTTTCTGTCACATTCACAATGTAAGCTTTTTCTGCAAATGTTCAAACAACCAAGGGAATGTAAATTTATTCTTATCATTAATCATGCTACAAAAACAATGAAGAAATTCAGTTATTTTATATATGAATTTTGAATTTATTTTGATAACACAAAGAAATTTAATACAGCTAGTTTAAGAAAATATTCATAAACATTTAAAAGCATAACAAATTTAGCTGAAGAACTGATAAGTTTTACTAGGGCCTTCTAATAACATAAAAATTAAAATTCTGAGGAGAAATTTAATGAAATAATTAAGTGAACTGAAACTGGATTATAAGTTGTTTTGTGAAATTTATATATATATATTATTTTTTACTTACATCTCTTTAGAGGAAAAATCAAAACTTCATAAACTTTTTCCCACAAATATTCTGTATAGAACTGAAAAACTAATTTGACAGTAATAATACCAGCAACCATTTGAAATTAATATTGCTTTCATAAAAAAATATCTACTTATAATAAGTATCGAGTAGTATGTGTGGAATTAAAAAATATAAACCTTGAAGTGGCTTTTCACTGCAATATAAACATTTAATAATGAGACATAAAACTAATACAAACTCAAAAAGGAAAACTACCATTACAAGGCAAAACAAAGGAGTCTTAGCTATCAGCTGTCTTCAAAGATGTGTAAAAGCCAACAGTTAAAAAGTAGTTTTTACTTTTGTTTTGCTCATTCCTATTGGAAGTGTTTATTTGATGTACTTACTTATTCTATATTAATTTCATATTTGCTTAGCTTTCAGGTTTATGCTTTATTGTCTCCTAATTTATTTACAGAAATTTCCATTGAATCTTACATGCAATTGTGCATTTTTGTCTTTTGTTTTCACCATTACCACCTATGTTACAACAAATGAATTGAAAATAATATTTGGTCTGCTTACAAAAACTTCAATCAGTGTATATGTAAAAGCTCCTTAACCTGACTTATAGCCACCAAAAATGTTAAGATACACATACTGTTGGTCTCTGACTCTAGTAAACCACTACGAAATATAATACTGATTTTTCATTATCAAGGCATTGATTGCATTTGAAAAATCTTTAATTTTCAAAAGATCTAAGATCAGTAATGATATATTGTATCATCTGTAATTAAAAAAAATTATATTTTGATAAAAACATAGAACCTTTAAATAACTTTCATCAACAATCTTGATATTTTATTATATTTGTTTCCAATCTTTTATGATGCTGCTAAAATGATTTGTATCAAATAAGATGTGTTTCTTCTTTTCCCTCTACTAAGAGATCTTATTTTTCAGATGAGGCCAACAAAGTCCAACTTGGTCACTACTGATAGGTGGTGACGTATGTCCATTTTTGTACCGTACAGTAGTTGTGTTCTGTTCTAAAACACATACTTTATTAAATATCTTCATTTTTGTAATTTTCATTAGGATGCTATGCAAACAATATTCTTATCCACTATATGGTTCGTTAGATGCTTTTTTTTAAATAAAGATTTCAGTTACCCTAAATATAGGTGTTGTTTTTCACCCCAATAAGTAACTCTTGTAAACCCCTGATCACCACGAGCTCTAGAAGTCCTCACTTTCATACTCTTGATCTTCATCAGCTAAACCCTCTTTTGTTTGTTTCTCTGATAAAGCAGGACTTCCAGTATGTGTTTCTTCCTCAAGTTCCTTGAAATGGAGTTTAAAAAAATCACTAATTTCTAAACAACAACTAACACAGATTTAAATGATTGGAGCCTCTTTAGATATGAAATTCTGACTAATTTTAGTGTGACTTAAACCACAAACAGAAAATATCACTTCCAAAAGAATAATGTTTTAAATAAAAGTCAGTATGACTTCTTGATAACTTTTAATCAATTTAAGAAAATATTTTGTTAAAAACATCAAATATGGTAAGAAACTGAAATAATCCACTGTAAAAACAAATGAATCCTTTTCAGTCTTTCTACACAACATAAGAAGATAATTAACATAATACAAGTTTGAAACAACCTGTGTGACCATGCAAGTTATGATTTTTGACCTAAAACAGTGAGTATTTGTACAAAATGACAAAAAAAGCCTACTAATAACAAGTTCTTTAAATGTGGTAATGAATATCTTAATATTCAGTTCCTAAAAAGAATAAAATACCAATAGCATGTTCTGAAGGAAAGAATACTAACCTTGTATTTGCTAATATAAATTACAGTATGTAGTTTTCTGACAACAACTTATTATCGAGCCACACAGAGAAAATATATGTGACAAATTATATAAAGTTCTAGTGCCATACGTCTCAGAAATGATAGAATAAAAAGTTACAGTTACTTACCACATCACTTTGGTCGTCATCAGGAATAACATCACTCTCTTCTGATTGGTTTTCGTTGGATGCTACACTAACACTATTCTGTGTTGACTGCGAAAGAATCTCATTACCCTAAGGAAGTCACTAATGTTGAATATATCGGACTCAAACTGTGTGAAATGTGTATACATATATATTTCTAGATTGAAAAATTGAGCCACAGTCATTTTGGGGATCAACTGAAATAAGTATTTTAAGATAAGTCTACAAACCTTCTTTATAAATTGCACAATTAAACACTTAACTAGCTTCACCAAATTTTTTGTTCCATTATAATTTAATAGAAAATATCAAAGTAATTAAGAAAAAGACAGTGGTTGGGACCAAAACATTTAAAACCCAGTTTATAAACCCTAAGAGGTATCCAGTAGAACCAGCCTTTACCTAACAACACCTTTTCACTCAGTATTTTGACTGCACACTTTTAATATATTTCAAATTCTGTACATGCATATGTGACTGCTCATGTATTTTAAAGGCTAACTACACTTCATGTTGGCCAGGTTGTTATTGTTAATACACTGTGAATCTGAGGATGTGTGGTTTCTGATCATTGCAGCAAATGTACTTGTTGTGTAGTGTACATGGATTTTCCAGTCACAGACTGTGAGAATGTTTGGAGCAAGTGTTACCTCACATCCATGTTTCCACTTTAATTGTACTTGTACTTCCAGTATGCACTCTTCCTTGATGTCAATTACTCAAATATGTTTAGTAGAGAAGCCTCTTATAGTGAGGATGATTTTCAACTTTCACCTCACAACATGATCACTTATTTTCCTCATTGCCCTATGTTCTTGCTTCATCATTAGAGGTAATTTCCCACCTTTCATTACAAAATCAGGTCAAACAATTGTAGTTGTAGAATCAGTGTTGATCAACATACAAGTCATTCCATAAATTAACCCATTGCCTCATGGTCTAGCTTCTTTAAATGATACATTTAAATGTGTTGGGGCAGAGACTATCTGATCTGATGTTCTCATAATTTCTGCATGGTGCTTATATCTATCTATCTGCAACTCTTAATTGATTCTAGTTCCATTGTTAAGTCAGCAGCTTCCTTTAAAGATGTGCATATTCTCTGTTTTAGCTTAATTCACATATCATCATCTGTTATGGCATCAACGAACTGATCACATGCCAACAAATCCATCATTTCACATGGAACATCTGAAGAAAATAACTGTATAAGCCTCTCCACATCTTACACAAGTTCGGCTAAGGTCTTGTCTTTCCTCCTTACTCTGCTCCTAAATTACTTCTGATGTAACACTTCAAATCTGCTTGATAAAGGCAGCCACCAATGCCTGATAGTTGTTACAGCTTGTAATTCACTACTCCATCCACTCACTTTGAAAATTATTTTGAACTAAGCCTGATTTGTCTCCCATGGTATTTTCTCATCCTAATCTGTTGGTTTATCAATCAGGCGATGTTGCTGAACTGAGCAGCTTAATTCATGAACAAGGTTAGGTTGTTATATAATTGGAGAAGTCACTGAAAGTATGGTAGTATTAGTGGCAGGTGAATCCCAGATGAGTTTTTTTTTTTCATATTTGATAGTTAATGGTGTTTGGGGTTGAACTTATCAAGCAGATACAGGGGTGTGTGACTGGATTGGACCTTCAGTTTACAAATTCATATTCCACAGGCTTTATTCCATCACTGATTTCACTGTTATAATCTTTCAGCACTTCATAGATGTCTTTTTGTATACTTCAAATTTATGATAATAACCCGTCTCTAATAAATTCTTTGATCATGTTTTCAACCGAACTTACTTTCGTTCTTATTCATCTCTAAATCTTACACCAATTTCTTGTAATCCCAATACTTTAGCATCTTCTCCTACATCTGGTGGTAAGTGGTACATTGTCATACCCCCAGAAAATATATTAAAGGTTATTAGAAACCTCTGAACAGTTGACCCAACTCCAAGATCTATTAATTAATACACAACATAAAGTTCACATACCTGTAAGTCACGATTCTTCAAGTTTCCTATCCAGAAAGCACCTTTACACTTATTCTCAGCCATCATAGCCATAATGAGATAAATAATAGACTCAAGGCTTTTCCTGAGAGGAGGAACAAGTCTTGTCAGTCCTGCATCCTTCGAACCCTAAAAAAGAGAGCATAATTCCATGTAAAAAATATACATATTCCAGTGAAAGTCCAAAACATATTTATACTTTAAACAAACATTTAAGGTCAACTTTGAGACAGTTTTTATCACAAAACAGGTTCTTAAAGACTAATACCAAATGCACATGCTTTTATTTCTATTCAAAGCCTTTATTAGATATGCTAGGTTAATTTTTATCATTTCATGATTAAATAAACATTATTTCCAACTGATTCTTAGCATGGAAAAAGTGTTCTTTACAGAAATCTGATATTTTAAGAAAAATAATACAAAGCACTTCATGTTTCAATATAAAATATATTACGACTTTTAATTCACACTTTAGATACTATAAACCTGAAGTAAAGATTACATTATTGCAAAACTTTATATTAAGTATTAATTTATTTACGATTTTAATAATGGAAAATAACTACTTGATTATTCTGAAATGAAAACAATCAATGTTAAGCAAGAACAAATTACATGCAGCATATTAAAGCTGTAATGAAAGAATCTATACTATGATAGAGAGGATACTTCTGTGATACACGTACTGGCCTCATGTGTAGGTTTCAGTCTAGCCACAAATTCTAACATGTTAACATATTGTTTTCTATGGGTTCATAGTTTGAAAAATACCACCTATTTGTTATATTATTATTTTGGGTATGGAAGTATAAAGACATTTGCATGATATGATATTGTTCACATTATGTTTCAGGTTATCAAAGTACAAACTCTTAGAGGATACAAAAATTTTTCTGAATACAGAAGTACAAACATCTGTAATGTGAAGTTTCCAGATATGGATTTGCTATCATTTAAATTATACAAACTTGTTTTGTGTATTTTCAAAGGTATGGAAGTAAAAACATTCTTCCATAACAACAAATATTTTTGTATGTTTTAGGATTAAAAATTACTTTTGCTACATGTTACACATATTGGTTCAAGTATTTTTCACGATTTAGAACTACTTTTTACTATATGTGCTACACACAATGTTTTGAGTATTTTCATGGTCTGAACTTAACGTTTGCAACATTCTACACATGTTGTTCTACAATGTACGTATAGTAAGTAAGACTTCCAGCAAGTCAAGATATAATTCAATATGCATTTCAGTGTGTATACAAGAACAATCTAGGATATTACAGTACTGTTCTGTGCACATTTCAAATACATAAAAAATGACTGTGCTTTACATACTAGAATACTGTTTGAGGGACTGGAATTTCAAAAATCAAGAGTAACCTATTTATATTCTTAATTTTTTAACGCTAAATGGAGTTTTTTACTTATGACATAGCTACTAGAACAGATAAAATAACGACCTTTGACTCCAGAATGTGAAGGGTGTTTCTTAATTATCTTTCATATTTTGAACATAAAAAAACAAATAGACATACAAAATTCAGATTACAACAATTAGTTGCCCAACTCACAAATTTTGTATTGACACGGTTTTCTTCCAGTGAGTTGAACTGAAAAATGTGGAAATCTACTAACATATCGGTAAAAACCCTTTGATTAGGTTTAAGATTATGAAGTACACCTCACTACAAGCTATAAATTTTGTACACCTTCAATACAAAGGATTAACATCTCTCACCTTGACATAATTGCACACATGTTGCAGATATCGGGTGCTTGCCTGTAAGTTTTTGAGCAGATTAAGAACATCCTCTTTATGAGTACGGAAAAGACGGTTGAGCAGGGGTACTGCTTGTCCTTTGAAGCTTTCTACGAGCTGTCTACCATACTAATGACAAACATAAATCATTCACAGAATTCTTAGTTATCTAAGTGTACAATCAAATATCTAAGTTTGTCAACATCTACTTGTCTATAAGGTCCTCAATAAAAAAGCGAACGAATAATATATTATGATGAAAACCTATACACTGGTATGAAGCATTCTACACTGTATTCTATGATGAACAACAACAGAGAAATATATTTTATCTAACCTATAAATAAAGTGGATATGCCGACAATTGGAACTTGTACTTAAAAAAAACCCAACAAGTTTTCTTTAAATTGTGTTATATTTTCTTTCATAAAATAGCACAGAAACTGTAAATGAAGTTTTTGTTTTTTTTTGATATAAGAAAACTAGTGTAAGGTTTGGACTCACCTTCATGGAGGATGCCAAAACTGGTCTTCCACCAAATATCTGTTTGTTTAGGAGAGATTCAAAGTTAACTTATTCTACTTTGTACAATTCTAACATATCTTGGTTTAATGTATCACAAGTAAAATTGTACATTATAGCTCATATAATTTATAGTCAAGAAATCAATAATTTATTCCTGTTATTTATAATGCAAAGTATTCATATTCCCCTATTAACTTGCTTACTAAACTAAACATTTGGCACATATAATACATTACTTCAACATTAGACTTCTGACACTGAATAAATCTTTTTAGCAGTTTCTTATAGGTAGCTTTAATGCAACACATACTAACTGATGTACCATTTTCATCATCTATTAAACACTTGTTCTATAACACTGAGCTTGTTAACACTATAATCAAAGTTACTGATGATTAACTGGTGTTTGGAACATACAATGAATAATTAAAATGTTTAATACAATTAGCTTCCAATTTCAAGTCACTGTAACTAAATTAAAACCGAACATTTAATACATCCTAAAAATAACAAGTAATTTGAATTCAAATGCATCAGATGCAACACATTTAATAATCTCATTTCTCCATCTATGATGACCTTCTTAAAAAGAACTTTAAATCTTGCCTTATATGTGTGTGATTAATAAGAAAGATCTGTAAAATTAAGAGAAAATTAAAAAACAATACAGTTATTTAATTTTAACATCTGTAGGGTGGAGAAAAAAAAGAGCATAACACAACAGTATTTCCTTTATTTTTGAATGACACTTAAAAAAGTTTCAGACAATAATGCCTAAAATAAAATGGTACTAAAGTAAAGATTACAATATGGGAAATATTTGTCACATAAAGAAAGGTATATGCTAAACTAGGATTTATGAAGAGGCATGAACACATTGTCAATCAGAATGAACCTCTATTCACAAGCCTCACACATGAAATAAACTAAAACTAAAAACAATCATGAGAAATTATAGCTGCTCAAGCCTATCATGTAAACTACTGCTCACTGTCTACAGCCACTTGTGGGAAGATAGTTTCTCCTAATGAAACCGAAGAACAAAGAACGAGAATTAAAACACAAAAAAAGTTGCTATAAACAAACAACTGAGGATAATAAATAAAATTTATCTCTGGAAGTCTACATTTTAGCTTCCATAATGGTCACTTACCTATATGAACAGATTAATAAAATGTAAAATGTTTAAGTTAATAATTATAGCCAAAAAAGAATGTTAGTAGCGAGAATACTGAACTGATTAAACAATGCATTTTAATTTTTATAAGTAAGAATTTAAGACAAGTATATTTATTTAGCTTTAGTTCTTACCAATACCAGGTTGAAGTTTAGTTTCACTCAGAACAGGCAGCTTGATCGGATAGGTAATTATTATTAATTACCATTACTAAAAGAATGCAAAAGTGGAATTTACCCTTCAAGTTCCAAATAAAGTAGAATACAACCCTCCATATCAATATTCTATTAAATTGGACTTTCAGTTGTATAAATTATCTTAAATATATATATACTATTTAACAAACATATCATGACGCAAGACCCATCTTCAGAATCATTAAAAACTGATAAATACAAAAATAATAATAATTCTTCATACCTGAAAACACAAACTTTAATAAAATTAAGCTTGACACTTTTGTGAGGCACCAGAAATATTTGTCAAAAGAAACTCCATAGTGTAAAATATTTTTTTCAATTTCAATAGCTTAATATCTTAGATTCCCTTTAGGATTAATAAATAAATGACATTATACTCAAACGGTTATGGAAACTCAGCTTAAGCTTGAATAGTCAGTACTATTCTTTCAGTACGGGCTCGTTCCCTGGAACCAAACTTGTAACCATTTTGTACTTGTTATAGTTTTCATGCTATAATTTTTAAATTAGTGGCCATACGTTCACAAAATTTGGAAGATTATCAGTAAACAATACAAGGCTTTCGTACACAAAATATCAGATTTTTTAAGTAATGTTTTTCTCACGCCTATATTCTTTTTGAATGTTGACTACCCAACACACAAAGTAATTTTGATTTTAAGATTAAAAATACTTTTATGCATCAGAAAATTTTCAAATTTCACATGCGAAATCTTTATAACCTCCAGATAATTATCAAACATTAAAAAAACATTATATTTTATCTGTTATTTTTACTATTGAATCTCTGTACGGGTTTGGTCAATTTGACCGACCTTATAATCACCATAAAAAATTAGGAAATAAATATAAATTATGCTTTTTTCGTTCTAGAATGATGACAAATTATAACACGAAAACTCAAATGTTTAATCTAACTAGCTTAAATTTCATAACATTATACATTTACATTTATTTATTATTTTTATTATATTGACCTTTTCAGCCATGTGCATTCCTATTACTGTATCCAAGAATATAAAACTTGGTCTTTTCAAAGTGACCTGTCTTAGCTGTGTTTTAGTGGACTAGTATTTTGTAAAATACAGTCACATTTCAATTATTATACATTATATATGTATATAGATTATTGCTATTTGGAAATAAGTTCTTAATCTTATTTTTCCTAAAACAGAGAACAGTAAATAAAGAAGTAAAGCAAACAATTATCTCTTCTAGTTATGACCTTTGTACTCCTTTGCTGCTTGTCATAGGTTGGTAAGCCTTATAAAATTTTGCATGTGGAGGATGTGAAACAAAATAATTTTTTAAGGTTTTATATATACACCTGGAAAAAAGTTAAGCACCCCCGTGTTTTTTTCAAGTGATTCAGATTCAACG